TTAGCAACTATCTTTCAATGCCGGATCGAAAATGAATCGAAAAAAATAAATTGGTTTTTAAAACTAACAAATATTTAATACGCCGAAACATTACTTTCCGGTCCCCCTAATAATTTAAAAATTGTATACTTTCACCAATCAAAATCTATCGATTAACTAAATAATTATAAAAATTTCTTTTCCTATCGAAGTATATTTAGAGAAAAAAAAGATTAATAATTGTATCAAAATGTTTTTTTTTTTTTTTTTTTTTTTCCTGCTTAATAGTTTCAGTGCCTTTGACTAGTCCCTCTTCAACTGATATTTTTGAAGATGAAAAAACTGAATCTGTCGAAAAAATAAAATATATGTTTGCTCAGATAGGATGCGTTTTTGTATCTAATTTCGTAACTTCCGTAGAGTTTCGCACGTTATATATTTTACAATAAATGCTTTGTAAGTAGAATGACCAAACAGTTATTATTTACTAAGTCAGACTCACATATCGATCGTTTTCAGAGCTTCGAAATTTATACTTTTGAGGAGAAGTGACACGTAATTGGTGCAGCTGTCGGCCTTCATCAAAACACAACGGATTCACTCATTTCGAATAAAGTGGAGGGTTACTAAACAAACAGCTGGAATTCCACACTTTTGCGCGAGATTTAATTTGAAACTATCACTTATTTAACATTATTTAATTAAAATTGTGAAAAAGAGAGAGTATCGAATTAATTAATGAAAGAATTCAATTTCTGGAGTCATTTTAAACAGTCATTTTAAGATAATTTGTCGATTGCAACTAAAATTATAAAATTTATATCTGGGTATGCTTAAAAAGAAATAGCCAGTTTCCCAAGTTGTTGCAGCTGGGTCGGACTGGAAGTATGAGGCGCAGAGAGGCACTTGATTAATTTTGAAAAGAGGTGCTTCCTAAAAAAAATACATATCACATTCTATATAAGTATATGTACAGAATGTCATATTCTGGGTATTTATGGATATGTAATTTTCTAGAAAATTGAATTTGTTATAACAACTACAGATTTATCTGAATTCATTCGCTTCAAAAATATATAAATGGCATGTAACATTCGACATGCTTCATATACTTCTAAAACAGACACCCATTTTCAAGATTTATCAAACTTAGAATGAAAAAAAAAAAAAACTTTAAATATAACTTAAACTCTTAAAAGTTTTAAATATAGCTCAGCTCAAGTTTTAAGTTAAATTAACTTTAAGTTTTAAATAAAACTTAAAAGTCTTAAATACAGAATCATATAGCTGATACGTATCATAAATAAAATATATAACAAGGAGAAGCAAGTTGTACGTACAAATATCACTTTGCATTAACGGTCCCGCAGTCGACTGATCGTAAGGACACGGTTCCCAGTTGAATACCGAAGTCAAGCATTACTGGCTGCGGTCAGTAAGGCGGGTGGGTGACCACTTTGATCAGCCTGTGTAAGGACCGAGGGTGCGTGGTATCGGCCCCCGTTAAATTATTCTAACGTGAAGTCCTCAACTTCGCCCGCAGGTCGTCGGGATACCAAAGCAGGGGAGCCACCCTCCTTGCAGAGGATCGAAAACTGCGATGGCATATGTCTTCGGATCATTCTCAGGGATGTTTCCCTGGCCGTCGCCAATAGCCCATTGTGCAGCTCTAGTGCCACATAAATAAAGTACATGCCCACTTTGCATTAACACTCCGATATCACCTTTGAGTAGAAAACGAAAGTGACCGCTCTGAAACTTAAAATTTTTATATCCTGATAATTCACATTATTTGTATAATACATTATTTCTACATCATAAAAATATTCAACTATGTATTTCTTGATCAAAAACTTCTTTCGCTTGTCGCTTCTTCCGGTCGGACTTTGGTAAAATCTTAAAATCTCATTTGGATGAATATGGACTTATGTACAGATTAGAGTAGCTTTTTTTCTTCTTTTCTCCTTCTATATTTTGTAACAAAATATTGAAAAAAAAAAGAAAGAAAGAAAGAAAAATAAAGAAAAAAAGAAAGAAAAATAAAGAAGAGAATTTCCGAGACTTATGGCTCCAGTCCCGGGTGATTTCATGCTTTTCAACGCCCCTAAAGCACTAAAATTGATATTACTATATACTTATACATATATATAAAGAAAACTAGAAAAGAATACAGAAAAATAAAAAAGTAAAAGAAAAAAAAATATTTAAAAGGGTTTTTAACAACAAAAAAAGACTAAAAATCATTAACAATTTTAACAAATAATAATTATAATTAAAAATAATTTACAATGAAAATATATCCTTTTTTTTTACCCACACGAAATATAAATTTTTGCGGATATAATCATGTGGATCCTATGAAATCAACCCTTTTTTGAAATTATATACTTTTCTGAAAGTTTGGATTTCAAAACCAGATAGTTTCCTTTGTTTCCCTTTAAATTTTTATTTGATGAAGGATGACAAAAAAAAAAAAAAAANAAAAAAAAAAAAAGCAGCTCTTATAAAAGTAACGCTTTTTTCTTCGGAAAAAACTGAATTTTTTGTTTAGGTAAGTGAAAAATTTTCATTTTCGAAAATTCAATATCTAAATTATCCTATTGAGTATCCTAATTGAGTATAAATGTCTAAATGATGACATTTTAAAATTTTTATGTTATGAAAAAACGTGGGTAAAAGTACTTGGTATAGATAAGCATGGGCGTTGCGACCGCGGAGGGTCCGAGGGACCGGAACTTCTCAATATTTGGGGAGTCAGAACCCAATATTTGACGAAAAAAATTTCTGTTTTATTTTCTATAAAAAATAAAATATTTTCTTTTGGCATAAAAATTATTTTATAAAAAATTCATTACATGAAAAATTTTTTTTTTCAAAAGGTAATACAGAAATAAAAAAAATACGAACTGCATAAAAAATAACAAAATAAGGACTTGCATAAATAATATTATAATATTATTGTTATTGCTTTCTCAAAAAAAAAAAAAGAAAAAAGAAGAGAAAAAAAAGCTCCCTTTGTCTAAAGAATATTGAATGCAAAGAATCCTTTTGCTTACTAAAAAATATCCGCTTATTTACTGTACACTATGAGAAATATTGCCTCATCATTTGAACACTTTTCAGAAGCATAAGATATCTACAATATAATTTCCAATTTCTAAGCATAAATTGTCACTAGAAATGTACAGTCTTGCATTGAGGTTCTTTGCGTCACTCCAGCCATTTAATTTCCTTAGTTTATGTTCACCCTTTTCCGAAAACGGTCAAGCATATTAGTAGTCAGTCATAGAGCTTTTGCACTAGTATATGTGCATTTTTTAATATTTCTCAAGAAATATTTAAAGTTGAAGTTTTAAATTTTATGAAGTCTTAATAAAGTTTTAAATTTTATTGAAAAATAAAATTTTAAATTTTATTTTACAACAAAATGTACAACTTTTAGAAGTGTGAGATGCCGACAGCAAATTAAAAACGGAAAATAGTTTTTTTAAGCACCCTATGTGAAAAAACGTAGCAAAATATTTGTAACAATTATTTTGTTTAATAATTGCACGATGTTTCGTAATCCTAGCTTAAATATTTATGGAGATATGTAAATTTTTATAAAAAACTAATTTTTTTGTCTTACGTTTTTTTTTATTTTTATTTTTTTTGTTGTTGCTATAACTTTAAAAATATTCAATAAAATGAAACAAAATTCTTAGGGCAATTTAAAATTAATAAAAAAAATTTGAACTTTCTTTTAATTCATTTTGAGCTTTATTTGAAAAAGTACGAAAACTACTTAAAAAATTGCTTGATTTTTTTTTAAAATTTTAAAAGAACTTTTGAAATAAATTTGCTATTTTTGTAGTTTTTCTTCTTCGCTATTATAAATCAAAGTTTTTAAAAAAGTTCCCTGTTTTTCCTTTTTATTCCTTTTCTTGTTGTTTCCGTTGTATTTTTCTCTTAATATACATATTGTATTTATTTGTGTTCCACCACTTCTTGAATTTTTTTTTTAAATCTTACGTGTAACAAAAACTAAATTAATTTAGTTTAAGGAAATCTAAACAGAATCAAGTTTAGATGATTTTTCTCAACTTATGAATATCCCAACTTAAGGATATGTAAGAGATAAGTTATAAGCATTGTATTATAAAAGAGCAAATTTTTAAAATTTTTGTGTTTGTAACATGATTAAATAAAGATTAAAATATGTTCAATAAGATTAAATTTTTTTATGTAAGTTAAGTATATCACAATCGTTGCACAATTCCTTAAATAATTCTTTTTTTTTTACTGGCTTCTACAGTATTGTTTCCCCTTAATATGAAACTGACTAAAATGAAAATGAAGTAAAATTCAGTGTTTTAATTATCACCAACTCTCTCCTGTAGTGTCTTATGAAATGAAATTAGATTTAAATGCGAAAACACTTATATCTACCTTTTATAAAAAAAAGTCATATCAATCTTATGGCGTCAAATGCTGTGGAACAGCATTAATAAAAATATTCCACAATAATATAGAAAGAATAATATGATATAGATAGAATTAAGATAAAACCTTAAATTTTAATGATAACATATTTTCTCACTTTCCGTAAAATGCTTTATCTTTGAGCTTCATTTTAAAATTATTTGTTTACTAGTAATAGTTTTATAGCGCCTCCAATATGTTACTTGATGAAAAATATTCCATTCTTTGAAATAAAAACCTACACAATAGAATATCGGCTTGCGTTATTGAAATGTTCTTGAAATCTGCTAAACAATTGCGCAATAAAAATAAAATCGATTGCCTGGAAAAAAATAATAAAACAATCCAATTGTTTTGCGCCCAAATTGAAGGCCCTTTAGTTTGCAACTTTTTTCTCCAAGCTATTTATTTCCCTAAAAAATGTGAATTTTTTAATGACTATTCTTAGAAAACAGCGGAAGAAATCAATTTAGAAATACACAGCTTGTTTCTCAAGTCTTTTTTTTTTCTTTCTTTAGTTGTGATTCATTGAAAGAAAATATTTGATTAGGATCGACGATCCAACAGAACTCGAAACTTAGCCACCGGAAATGTCGTATCTAGGTCTTGAACAATATCCGGGTTAATTGTGGAGTATGCGATGCGTGCGCTGCTGTCGGTAGTTTTGGATCAGTGGTGTTGTGCATCTTGTCCACAAGTGGATTATTAATTTCCCACAAGTGCCTTATTAGTTTAGATAAGTTTATTAAATGATGCATTTGGAGTTATGGAAATTAGTTTTATTAATTATGTGTGTATGTCAAGTTCGTGGAAATGAATGTAAGTATTTATAAGTGGATATATAACTTTTTTGCATCGCAAACCTTGTTGTGTTCATTTTAAATTGATTTGAATTAGTAGATCTAGGTAAACAAATCAGCAGCTGATTTCAGTGATGCTTCACAAAAAAAAGCGTGGTATGTAAGGGTGTTTCGTGTTAACAATGAGCGAAGGCTACATTGGTTAAACCATGTTTTCGTAATATTTTCTGTATTTAACAAAGTATTTTTATTATTATTGTCATATACGATTTTTTTAGAAAATTGCTGAAACAATTTTCTTAGTGCGTGTGAAGTAAACATCAATATTTTGGTTAAAAGAAATGTAAATATTTCATTCTTAATTGTAGGAGGTTTCGCTTAAATTGCATAATTGAAAACTGAAAGTGATTTTTTTTTAGAAAATGTCTTTAAGGGAGTTAAAGAATTTTTTTGTTCCCAATTTTTTTTATGCAATCCAAGCTATTAAATCTCAAATGCAAATTATATACAATCAAGCCACTTAATAATCATGCATTTAAACTTATTTGAAGGGAATTTAAGGGCTTATTTTTTTAAAAATAATATTAAGATTTTGTAAAATTAAAATGCTGATATCTTCTTATTAAGAATAGTTTGTAAAATTTGAAGTAATTTTTTAAATTACAGTCAGGTGGTGAAAAGTGGGGATAAAGACATCTGTTTTCTCCTTTTAAAGTAAGAAAATTAATTTTTTTTCAGAGACATATACTAAGATTTTGACAAGCATTTTTTTTTCAGTTTACGAACTTGATACTTGGGTCAATCCAACAATCCAAAAAGTGCCTGCTGTATTTTTACAATTAGGTTCTCATATTTCATGTTTTTGAATAGATTCATTTAACTCATATAAACTATCCTCATCAGTAAGAATAGAGTCATTGCTGTTTGATGAATTAATGTCGAAAACATTAATTTGCTTCTTATTAAAAGGAAAATGTTTTTGTGTTCCTGAGCTAAAAGTTTTCAAATCTTGTTTTATTTCTGGATTGGCTGTTTATCATAAAATCTTTTATGCCATAGCAATGACAAAATCTCCTTCTACTTAGTACTCCGCAAAAACAACTGATGTTTCAGTTCCACAATATCAAAGCCCAGTGTGTAAAACTATTAGATTTTGCGATGCACCATAATGATGTGCTTGTATTTGATAATTTGAGGTTCTAGTTCTCGCTGAAATCTACATGCATAACAGCTTCATTAGGTTGGGGATCTGTAAGCTTCAAATTGTTTCTGAATCAGGGGTCTGTTTAGAAGAAATTTGGGTTCGTTAACGGACACTTCTCAAAATATCTTTTCTTAAAAACGGACCTCTCGCAAAATATTTTAACTTAAAAACAGACCCCTCACAGAATGATTTTTCTTTTAATTGGACCCTTCACAAATTTGATTATCTTCATTATTGTTTTGTTAATCGAATAAACCCTTTCCAGGGGGGAAAACAAGAAATATGGATGTAAACGTCTTCGACAGACGCTTGTTCCATTATTCGTCCAAAATAAATATTCTTTCTTTCAGCGGTATAGGCTAAATGACAAATATTTGTATGTTGCATCTCTAATTTAGAAGCAGCATTTGCTGTTTACTTTTGGAAATTAAATTTTTTTTATTACAATTTTACAGTGCTGAGCATAATCTTGTATCTATATGCAATTTAAAAACTCCTTGAAAAAGTTTTTTGCGATAACCGGACCCTATTTTATGAAAGCACAAATTCATAAAAGCAGGACCCTGGTTGAAAGAATGTGACTTAACGTTTATTTTATATTCACAAATTACGAGAAATTTTTTCACAATTTTACAAAAACAGGACCTTTTACAAAGTGTCTGGACAGACCCCTGTGAATGTTGAATACTTGTTTTTTTGAAGAGGTTGAATTCTTCTACTAATTTACTTGCTAGTGTAGAAACTGGAGAAGTCATTATCATTTTTGAAACCTTCTTCGCACTTACTTTTTTCCCCTCTTTTTCACAAATCTCATTTTTATAATTCCATTCGATTTTTGCACCTGTGTTCATTGCATTAAAAGGAACATTCTTTCTGTGACAAGATGGACATTCTTTATACATGCAGTCTTTTGAATCAGGGCTGCATATTGTTGGGGGCAGTTATTTTAAATTTTACATTAATTTGCAATTTGCATAAACATGTATTTCATGCGTCAATTGGAGATGGCAAAGCATAGAAAGATGGTTTGCAGCAAAAGAAGCATAGGAGCAATTTCCACTTTCAGGGAACTTTTCATGTAAATTTTTCGTCGTATCTAATAGGTTTCTTTTCTGAATACTTTGTTACAGTTTCCTTCTTTCGTGCAGTTGCTCTACTGATGTCATCTCTTGTATAAAAACCTTGAAAACTTTTATTTTTAATTCAATATTTTGTTGTTGTTGCTGAATGGCTTTGAGAATTCCGGAATTCAAACCTAAAGCTTCTGAGGGGCCGTTCTAAAAGTACATACACAAAAATGGAGACATTTTAACCCCCTCCCCCTTCGTACATAAGGGCTTACACACCCCCTTGGAGTACGTACATTTTATTAGTCTACCCCACTTTTCATAAAAATTAAAATAATTAAAAATTAAATATTTATTTAAAATAATTTATTCATTTAAATTATTTAAGCAATTACACCCAACTTTATCTTTGAATCAATAAATAAAACAATCTAAGTCAAATTTAAATTTTGCGTATGCTTATAATGTACGTGCTTTGTATAATACCTCCCCCCCATCGTTCAAAACCGTACAAAATAGCAAATCCTCTCCCCCCCCCTTTGGGATGTACATACTTTTTGAACGGTCCCTGAAGCAATTTTTCTCATCTACTCTGTTCTTTTTTATCACCTGATTTGCCACAATATTCTTTAACATTATTTTCTTGTTTTTTTTCTTGTAAACTTTTATACTGTGATGACATACAATGTGTTCGAGCATTGTATTTAAAAAATTGGAAAGAAACCTTTACTATTTCAGGTTTATTAATACCAGGAAAATTTTTCTCATAAATTTTTTAGTTCTGCAGCGTTTAGTTAAATTACAATCCTAGTATCTATTTGTAATCTTTGCTCTATTTACCCCTTTTCTTAATTTTTCTACCCTTTGCTGAATTCTTTTACATTCCATTTTAAGATTTATGATCTCCTTATAAAGTTTTGTTCTATCTCGCCTCAGTTTTTTCCTTCCACTGCCAGTTGACTCTTTTTTTTAAGTTTTTTTTTAACATTTGATGTTAAAAGAGGTGAACTGTTTTGCTTCATGCACTGTTTTTGTTCTGCTTTCTTTGCACGCCACTTTTTCCTTGCTAATCTGTTTTCTTGCAGACATCACTTGCCAATCTTTTTGTTTTATAATATCTATCACAAGCCTTTTTCTTACATTCTTCTCTATTTTTATCCAGTTTTCTTCTTTCTCTATAACGGCATATCTCCGCAGCTATTAATGGCATTATCTAAAAAAAAGAACACAAAATTAAGAATAATCTCTCAAATATAGGAATAAAATTATTTATGGAAGGATTGCTATATAAAAACTTTATAATCTTTTAAAGTAACACAACCAATTATTAGTTTAAAAATTCTGTATTAATTTGAAAAAAAAAAAATAGTTTCTTATGTTTCTTTTTTATGGTGTAAGTTATAATTATGCACAAAATTTATTGCCCAAGTCTTGACCACTTAATAGCACGAAAAAGGAATTGAAGTCTCCTGTGTTACTTTGTTGTCCCTTCAAAAACATGGCAACACAGGAGACAAGTAACACAGGGAACAAACTGAAATTTAAATTCTCTAACAAGTTAATGTTAGTTCAGAAACATTACAAAGTTACGTGTAATTTTTCTTTTAAGTATTGTTTATAATTTAAATTTAAAAATAAAGAAAACTAAAATTATTATTATTTATAGTAAAAATCTAGGGTAACATAGGAGACATACAGAAAATATCTCAAAAATCCTTATCGTCCAATTTATTCTTTAAATTTCGTTTCCTGAAATAATGGCTGCTTAAAAAGAACACTAAAAACATAAGAGTGCATGAGTGGCTACTGTTGTCAACTTTTTTGTAAGTATTTCTATTGTGAATTTCAAAAATAAAGTAGATGTAACACAGGAGACAAATTTCTGGGACATGTAAATTTTTTTTGAAAGATATAAAAGTACTGAAAACTAATACAAAAAAAAACCCCAGCAAGTTCCTTATTTAGGAACACTGGAAGATAGTAAGGACCCTGAATTACGACTTAAAAGTCATATTATATCAAAGGAATATAATGAGAAAAGCTAAAAAAGTTTGCTGGGACATAGCGTTTTTTAAGATACAGTTTTTTTATAACCCAATTAGAACAGAAAGAAAGCAAAGTGATTCAAATTTTCATAATCATATTAAAGAAGAAAAAAAAATCTGAAATCTATTATTTAATGTTTAAATTTTGTTTTGGTACAAAATTATAAGAAATATAACAAGTAAGAGTGGCAGATTCTAAAGGTGTGCTTTATTTTTGGAATCACACCTATTACTTAGTTGAAGCTGCTGATGAACTTAGTTCTAATATCATTATATACTGACAAAAACTGTTAATTTTTGTTTGAGGAACATCTTAAGATAGAAATTTAAGCTTTATAGAAATATATAGAAGTTTGAGGAAAAATTTTGAAATTCTATTATGAACTGTTTTCTGAGGTAGAGTAAGTGGGATATATGGTTATGGTTAGCTTATTGACTAATATGATAGGGATATTTTTTTTACATCTGTGTTAACTAAATTAAATATAAAATGTTTTATATTTAATAATAAAATAGCCTACACAGTAATTTTAAGGGAATATTTCTGTATTGTGGACTGCCATGCCAACTACAGTCGGCAAGACTCCAAATTGGTTTTAAATGAGAAAAAAAGAAAAAAAAACATGTAGAGGTTTGTTCAGGAGTAGCTACGAGTTATAATCTTGAGTTGGTCCCTTCTGTGACGTTTTTGCAGGTTCACACGGGCCACTGCCCGAAAGTTGCAAAGACTAGGTGATTATTCTTCCACAGATCACAGTATGGAAATCTTCTGAATTTTGACACTGAAACGTAATTTGTGGAGATATCGGTGTCGTGACCTGTGGCTGATTAATCATCAAGTCTTGGTAACTTCCTGGCAGCAACCTGTGAAAAAACTAAAAAAAAATCATAGAAAGTGACCAACTGAAAGGGTATAACTCGTAGTCAACCCGGGCTAGCATCTTATTATTCATTTTAATTTCTGAATATATATTTGATGTTTCACAAGTAAATGAAAACTGGAAATTAACAAATAGTAATTCAAGTTAGAGACAGGCAACTTTGAAACTGACAGCTTTTTGTTTATCAGGAAAAGTTTACATGCTACAAAAAAATTCCAATTTTCGTTTTCTTGATCATTCTGAAATATAAGTGTTATATGCTGACTAGGGAAGTTCAATATTATCATCATGAACTTTTAAAGCGACTGATGTCTTCCACATTTATGAAAACAAAACCAACTATCGTGGAGAAATCTAATTACATGTGTGATTTCAAGTACAAGAAAGATTTCCAGAAAACCTTTGTAGAAAAAAAAAACTTGCTACTCTAGAGGAGGGGTGTCCAAGTTCCTTAATAGTCGAGCCATTTTTAAAAATTTGAAATTTTTCTCGAGCCGCAATTAAATACGTATTTAAAAGGTATGCAAAAAAGGTATTAAAAAAATTTTTTTTGACAGAAATTATATTTATTGAAAACATATAAATAAAAGTACAAAATATGTGTATTGAATTTAAATATTAAAAATTTAACGCATTTATCTTACTTTTTTTAAAAATTCTTTAAAATTTGGTGAATAATTGGTGACAGCACTTTTCAATAATTCTTTGAGATGCTGGTTAGTTAATACTGATAGGTGTTTGGATTTCACGAATTTTAAACTGGAATAAAAGGAAAAAGAATGGAATAAATGAATGAGTAGAAACGTATGAAAACTGCCAATTGCGGAAGATCTGTGATATCTGTCGATTCGTCAAGGAACGATAATAACTTTTAAAAAATAAAATAGCACAAAAATGAAAAGGGAACTTGGGTACATTTATCGAAAAGCCACAAATAATCCTTCAAAGAGCTGCATGTGGCTCGCAAGCCGCAGGTTGGTCACCCCTGCTCTTGAGCATCAGATGCAATTCTTATAAACGCTCCGCCAACGAAGCATTCTCATTATGTTTATTGACTTACCTACATAAGATTTGCACCAATCAGATGAGAAAAACTAGTTTCAATTAAACCTTGTTTCTTCACTAAACTGATGCTAAAAGTAATTACTAGAAATTACTATTAACTACAAAAAAAGCAACAATGAATGTTTAGCTGTTTGTAGCATACTACTTCCGGCCATTGGCCTCAATCTATACTTTTCTAAATCCATACTAATATTTACATTTATTTATTACTAATGTTATTTATTTTTAATTAGTTATTCAGTTTAGATTTTCTTAAGTATTTTTAAAATACATTGTTTTATTTTCAGATAAACCTGAAAAACTTTCAGATTTTAAAGCTAAACTTGCAAAAACAGTAAAAGCTCCTCCTGCTTCTGCAGATCTTATATTTGAAAAGAATGTGTCTATATCTGAATTAGGAATAGATCTTCCACCAGGAATGGCAAATGATACAGTTAGTTATGATTTTGATTTTAAATTTTTTTTTTCTTTTTGAGTATAGCTTATGGTACCTCATGACATATGTTTAATATGTCATGAGCTATCATATGTTTTATATTTTTATCATATGTTTTATATGTTCATATACATGTTTTTGTTGTTTGAAATGAACATTTATTAAAAATCTGATGTAACAAGTGGCAGTATCCTAAATAGACTATAATAAACTTGAATATTGTACCTTCGTTAAAGACTGTTTAGAACAGGGGAAAAAACTGGAAAGTTAAAAAAATAATTAACATTTCTTTTTACTTTCATTTGATTTTTATTATGTTAGTTAATATTTTTTCTTCCACCATTTGCAATAGAGTAATAGCTAAGTAAGTATAATTTGGTAAAAATTTTTTGATTAAAATATATTTAACAGTAATTTTCCACTCTTATTTTTTCAATGATTCTTAGAGAATCTCTTCCCTTTAAAAACATTTTTATGCTATAATACTGTTGATTAATATTTGAAATTTTACAATGAATTTGCACAATGTAAAAGGTACATTTTGGATATGTACCTAATATGATGCTAAAGATAGACATGTAACAAATCTGTACCAAAAACTTAAACTTTTAACTGTTAATTTTTAACTTTCGTTTTATAAATGTGAAAACTTTTGAAGAATTAATTTTAAAAAATTTATTGCATTTCTACAGTTTGTTTCAAAATAAAAGCATTTTCTTAAAATAAGCTCGAAATACTTATTTAAAGTTTATTTGTAAATTGTCTGTGTTTCGTCTTGCCCTACTTTGTATAATAATTTTAAAAAAAATACATTAAAAAAAAATAATGAATAAATAAAATTGTCAAATTACTACAACTCTGCTTTGATATTGTTACTTTTTTTAATTTTTTGTGTTTTTAAAATATTAGATAATCTCATTGGTTTAGTAGCAGTNTTGTCTGTGTTTCGTCTTGCCCAACTTTGTATAATAATTTTAAAAAAAATACATTTAAAAAAAAATAATGAATAAATAAAATTGTCAAATTACTACAACTCTGCTTTGATATTGTTACTTTTTTAATTTTTTGTGATTTTAAAATATTATTGATTTTTTCTTGTGTTTTTAAAATATTAGATAATCTCATTGGTTTAGTAGCAGTCTTGTTGTTTTGCATTGTTAATAATTTTGTAAAGGAAAATATCGTGAATGAATATATATGGTGTAAGTTAGATGAGTTAAATTTTTCAACCAATGTTTTAAGATTTAAATTATAAATCTCACAATATAATAAATCAATGGTTAAAACATTTATTTTAATATCAGTTTAAATTTTTCATTAGTAAATAAATTAATGATTACGAAAACCATTCCATTTGCTTTCGTTTTTAAAACGAATGTTTAAATAGATTAGCAGAACTGTAAAGGAATATCGTTAAAACCAACATTTCTTATTATTACATATTGTCTGCTGCATGATTTTGTTATTAATCTTTTCTAGAAACTTAACTTAATTAAACATGATCACCAGCATCTCTACTACTATAACATTTTTCGGAAAATGCTAAAAGATTATATGAATATATATATTTTTTTGCCTGATCATATTAAAAAAAGAATCTTAGTGAAAAAATCCTGACAAACAGCACATCACATTTTTTGTGAATTTTGTTCAATAGTTTCTATATATGCTGTCATGGAGAAATACTTATTTAACGAGAGAAAATATGACGATTTCATGTCACAAACAAGTTACGAAATTGGCAATAAATAAATAAATTTATACTTATAGTTGTAGATTTGTAAGAAATTTGGTTAATAGGTGAAATTTTTAAATTTGCTTATGAATGAAAAGGGAACTAATCTAGGCTTCTAGAGCAGTGTTCATTTTATCATATTCATAAGCCTTGTGACATTTTGAAGAACTTTAGAATCATAAAGATCACTATATACTATTAGGCATGAGATATCTAATAGTGTATCTTAAGTCAAAAACCCTTACGTATTTTTTTAAAAAATAATAATGTATAAGTTCCTGTATTGTTCCTAACACTTCATATAGATTTAAAACGACTTGTCAAATTACCTTTAAAAGCAGTCGTCTGAAGAAGCGTACTGCAAGTAGCAAGACTACTGTAGTTTCTATTTTTATGTAGTTTGTAGTGTGCACTACTTTTTACTACACTAGTAAGTATATAGTGTAAAAAGTAGTGCAATGAAAAAGAAAAAAAAACAGTAGTTAGTCGTAATTCCTCACAACTACTTTTAACGTTTGTTTAGTAAAAATTTTTTTTTTTTAATTTTCTGCATGGGATAGGTATAAATCTTTTTGGGTCTGTCAATAGACTCAATGAGATTGCCCTTGTGGCCAAGCGTTATTAATAAAAATTTGGCCGGTTGCTCTAAAAGCAGCAAGTTTCGTCTTTAATCCAGACTTAATAATGACTAATATATAGACTAGCCATTCTAAATGATAGCTAATTTATTACATTGGTCATACCTTCAAGTGCAAATGTACATTTGTGAAACTTCAAAGGAATACTTGATGTTAGTTCAATTAAAAAGAACATATGTCCTCTGTAATTTTTTATTTAGTTTATTTTTGTTAATGGCGAAGTGGGTGAAAGATGGTCTAGTTGGAACTTGGCTAGGGAGGGAGGACAAGACTTAAATCCTTATGCAGCAGACTGGCGTAAAAAGAATCTTGATGATATAATGCTCTTTTAGAAATAGAAGAGCATTCATTATACATTTATCAAAATTGCAAATATGAGATAATTTAATAACGTTACTGAAATTAATAATTCATTGTTGAGAAGTTGAAGGTTAAAAGAGCAAATTCGTAACGAATGCTGTAGAGTAACAAATTGGCTTCTGTTAACGTGAATAATTATTTCTTAATTCCTCATCTTTAAATTGGCTAATTTTTGTTCAAAATAATTTAGAACATGGGTGTAAATTTAGTACTCTAACAAACTTTGCTCCCTAAAAGTAGTGAAGCAGTATTTACATATCGAAAGTTAGTTAAAAAGAAAGTTGTAGTTAACTACATTTGTAATAAAGTAGTTGTAATTGAAGTTAACTACGATAAAAAATGTAATTGTGGTTTTTAAATATATTGTAATTATTTTTTTATTAAATCATTGTTTTCAAAAATATTAGTACCATTATTTTAGCTCGTAATTAGTTTTTGCATGTTTTATTATGCTCATATAATATATTTTTTTGTTTTTATATTATAACATTAATTTGATTTTAATTTAGGAAATGGTAAAAAAGTAAGTTAACAATATCATCACTATTTTACATTTTTAATTTACTTTCAGTGCATTTTATGATCTTAAAAATTGAATTATGTTTACTTATTAATGACTATTATTTGCATCATCTTTTTCTATTCTAAAAATTTTCTGTTTTATATTTGTTTAAAAATAATTATCTAAAATATAGCAATATACCTACTTTAACACTTTTAGTACAATATGTACTTGCACTAGAATCTCGATCAAGGGTATATTTATGACACACAATCAGGACTGATCTCCTCCCCAAAAAATCATAAAGAAATTTGCATATTTTTCCCTTTCTAAACCCTTGAAAGTAAGCAAACTTATTAAATCATATTAGATCTTTCTGTAGTGAAAAGGTAGCTTTAGTTAATTATCCAAAGTTTATGTGTGCTAACTGGCAACGCCTTGAATGTTGATGTTTTCTGTTTATGCTTACTCCGTTTTGTAATTATCTCTTTATTGCTGATTAAAGCTTTTTATGGGATTATTTCAGTGTTCTTCTTACCACATTTTAATCAGCAATAAAACTATTTTCACACTCACTAATTGATTGACTAAGCAGAATGGAACTTTTGAAACCAGAACGCTTTGATGTCGATCCAACATGTACCGGTACTAAAAGCAGATGGGTACACTGGAAAAGAAGCTTCTCAAATTACGTGGTGCAAGTAAACTATTCAACTGACAACAAATTTGAGTTACTTTGTAATTATGTGACAGCTAACAATTTTCACTACATAACTGACTGTGAAACTTATTCAAAAGCTGTTGAAGTTTTGCACTCACTATTCATCACTACATGCAGTGAAATATTTGTAAAACACAGTTTAGCCTCTAGAACGGAGTAAAATGGTGAATCTATTACTGAATGCCTTCAGATCCTTAAACAATTGAGCAAAGACTAAATTTAAGGCTATAACCCCCGATAAGTATAAAGATGTATTTATAAATGATGCCTTCATACGAGGTTCAAAGAACTACATGAACGACAGTTGGAAAATACCACCATCATGTTAGAAAATGCTTTAGACTAAGAAAGATCACTAGAACTTTACTCTTTATTATACTTGACTGCAACAAATGCCCCTGCAGCTGCTCCTATTGAACAAATTCAGCTGCCGCACGGAGTTGCGTATCAAACTCTTTTGCCTCAAGATGATAATTTCGAAGAAAATTTTCCAATATTAGCTGTCTCTGTTCCAACTTTGCTCTAACTGTGTAGATGATCATCACCCAAGAAGCATCTTATATTTTGTCTGATAAGCTAATTGCAGGAAATGCTATAAAAGAGGATATAATAATGATATGTGTAGATCTACAAAATCAACAGACCTTTCTCATTTAGTTTTTTAAATCGAAATTTTGTGGAACTGTGCCAGTTTAGTGTGAAGCTTTACACAAGTCGGATGACTGTAGTTAATTCATCCTTAAATTCAGATGTCATGTCACTGGATATGGTACAGTACAGAACCCGTTATCCGGAAATCAGAAAACCGGAAAACCAAAAAACCGGAACGAAATTCGATAAATTTTCCCGCCATTTAAAAAATTTTTTTTTTTCCTCACATGATTTTAGGATTTTTCTTTCTTTTTTGAAAGATATTTACCATACCATCATTTTAGAAATAATCATTACTGTATTACTTCATCGTTTTGTCTTCTTTTTAAGATTATTTCCAAATATTTTTTTTTTTAGTTGGGTTTAACAATAAAAAAAAACGGCTTTTTGTAGCGATTCAGAAAACGGGAAAAATCAGTTATCCGGAATAGCGATGGTCCCGATCGTTCCGGATAATCGGTTCCCTACTGTACTATAACTCTCATAATGTAAAATCATGTAGGTATATAATATTAAAATTCTAATAATGAAAAATCATGTTGATATTCTAATAGGTCATGACCTTTTGAGTAACCGTTCTTCAGTAGAAATTTATTTTCTATTTTCAAGGTGATAGACTCCCTTTGAAAATTTGTTCTTTGGCCACCACTCAAGTTTCAGTTACATCTCTATCCTCTCGCTGTAAACCAGTAACTAGCACCACTAAATTAAGGTGACAAATGAATGTTAAGTCTTTCAATTCTGTAGAAGTAGGAGAAACTACTTATTGAAGGTGCGATTGAACCAAGCAGCTACCCATGGAGAACCCGTATTCATTGTAAAGAGAGACAATCATAAGCCGAGGATGGTTGTTGACTACTCTCAGACTATTGATAAATTTACATTACTTGATGCCAATCCCTTACCCAGGATGGATGAACTGATGCAGAAAGTTTCATTGTACAGAGTATTTTATTTAGCAATTTAGCACAATTGATTTGAAATGTGTCTACCTTCAGCTGCCTATTTTAGATTGAACAGTACACAGCTTTTGAAGCAGAAGGTAAACTTTTCTAATTTAGAAGAATCCTTTTTGGTGTAACAAAGGTGTCCCAGTTTTGCAGAGAAATACTGGCAGAATTAATCAAGGAAGAAAAACTTTGAAAAACTTTTCCATACCTTGATGATGTAACTGTGTGTGGTCTCAACCAGAAGCATGATAAAAACTTGGAAATATTTCTTACAATCGCAATATATGTATACACAGTACAAGTCCCATATCCGGATATCCGTTTACTGGAGAGTCTCTTTTCCAGACCCTTTTTAACAATCAAACAAAACTTCTTTCTTTTAAAAATTTTTTTTATGCATGCAACCTGTTCAAAAAAGTATGCAGGAATAAGAATCTTCCACTTTTATTCCTATTTTCACTACAACGTGAAAAAAACTTGAATATCACAGAAATTGCTGTATTTTCTATGTCACGTCACGCAAAAAAGGATTATTACTATGAAGAATCACGCACTCAATTTTAGAGCTTGCAAAAATTTCACATTATTAAAAAATTGTGGATTTGAGATGAAATTGTCACGACTAAAACTGGTCATTATTTGATTATTTAAAAGCACGATTCAGATTTCTCGAATCGTAAAAAATATATTAAAATTGAAATCAAAATTTTAAAAACTATGTGGAAATCCCAAACTGCTAAAAATACAGTTGACAAAACCAAGCCAACAGTAAAATTGTGGCATAGCTATGCATCAAAAAGTAATTCTTCCAATGTATGATTCGAAATTTCTCGAATGTGATAATGTATCATTAAAAAAACTATGAAAATCTGTAACAATAATTGACAAAAATGCCATCGTAAATGCACCTGGGATTGTGGGTAAATTGTCAATAATTGAGTGCGAAATGTGCCATTTGAAGTTTACTGACCAAAATACTATTGTATTAAGAAATTGAGATTTAAGAACCAAGTGAAAATCCGTTTTAATAACCACCGAATTCACTCTGAAATTATCGCAAATCGAGTGGATTGAAACTTAAGTACAAAATGAAGTAAGTGATTTGGAATTTACCAGTATGTTATGGTGGCATATTAAAATATCGAGGTTTTAAAAAGGTATGTATGTGTATATATACAAAACCTTACTTTCTATCAAGAAAAATGTTCTTTTTTTGTGAAGTGTGTGAAAATTCTGGGATATTTAATTGAATATAGGTAATTAAACCAGACCCTGACAGAAATGCCGCCATGATAAACTTGCTTATCCCAGATGACTTGGCTTCTTTACAAAGAACCGTTGGCATGTTTGCACATTACTGCAAGTAAATTCCTAAATTCTAGGAGAAAATTTCACATAATCCGACGAAATTTTTTCCATTTTATGCCGATGTTGTCAAAGCTATAGATTAGATGAAGAACGATGTAACTGAAGCATCATTTTTGACTGCCAAGAATTATTTACCATTCAGTGAAAGGACACTTCCTCAATATTTTCATCTAGGGTTAGGTACTTTGAGCGGAGTTGACTAGCCTTTAAACTTTTTCTCATGAACTTTGAGCGCTACTGAGAAAAACATTCATCAGTTTAAAAATACGAAATTAAAGATGTTACCTGATGGGCAGGCAGTTTGAGGTTCTCACAGACCAAAGATCTATACCATTTATGTTACTAGTGCCATTCCAGCAAAATAAAAAATGAAGAGATTTTTAGATGTAGGCTTGAGTTGGTAAACTATAAACGTGACATTATTTACCTCCTAGGAAATGGAAGTTCAACAGTAGTCACTATGCAAAGAATAGCAGTTAAATCCATCCTGAAGTTAATTTAAAGGAACTGCATAAAGCATTTTGCCACCCTGATATAACCAGAATGCATCATTGGACAAGAGTGAAAAACTTGCCCATTTTATTGGATGACATCAAACAAATGACAAATGCTTGACCATACTGTGATGAAGAAAAACCTTTGTTCTACAGTGAAAGAAAGCTGATAAAAGCAACTTTATCTTTTGAAAGGCTCAACATAAATTTCAAAGAACCTTCACCTTCTCATCCATGCTCCTTGAATTGAAAAGGTTTCTTAACTCTGAGAATTGCTTCTTGCAGGACCACTGCTTATAACCCACAGGGAGGCCAGTGTGTGAGGTATAATGGAAAAATTTGGAAGACAATCCTTCTAGTCTCTAAACTTAAAGCATTTAAAATAGATTTAAACAGTGGGAGAAGATGCTTCAATAAGCTCTTCATTCCATTAGATCTTCATTCTGTATTGCAACAAATGAAACACCTCATGAGAAAAAGTTTTCTCACCCAAGAAGATTCTTGGACAGTCAGTCCCTGCCAACATGGTTAACTTAACCTGGCCCTGTTCTAATGAGAAACCATTTGCGCCTTAACAAGTATAACCTTATGGTGCAGGAAATAGAACTAATCTATGCTAACTCAAACTATGCTTACGTAAAATTTCTTGATGGTTGCTTGACAAGTGTGTCGATTAGACATTTGGCTCCTAGAGGAGACCCAATACTAAAAGTTGATTTTCAGCTATCTCATATTGACCCTGAATCAGTGTCTTTTAATACAGACTCTGAGTTATCTACAAATAAGTAGTCAACTAGAGATGAGGCCGATGAGTATCATTCGATCTAGACAACTATCTTCAGATCCAGATAAGCCCCCTATTTTACAGAGCAACCACCAGTCTACCTAAAGGATTATATAACAGTGAAAGACTTAAGTGGAGGGCGAATGTATTGGAAATGTAGATTTAGTAAATTGTATAAAGTTTATGTTATGCTAACTGGCAATACCTTGATTCTTGATGTTTTGTGATTATACTTACTTTGCTGTTGTAATTATCTTATTACAACAACAATGAATATTAAAATAACCCGAAACAGGGTTATTTCAATGTTCTTTTTACCACCGTTTCATTTTGTATTTTTTAAACATCAGTATTAAATCTTATATTTTTGTAATTATGAGGAAGATAATTGTGAATGGTATAATGTTTGGTAAATTAAGGAACCTCATATTGCATCCTTGTGACTTTAAAAGTTGACAGATAAGATAAATCGCTGATGGGCTACAATAGTTGCAAAACTCAAAAAATCAAGTTTTGAGATAAGTGAGTTTAAAGTTGTCATTGCTAAGCAAAAGGCATAAGAAATGCTTTCGTTTGCTTGTGGAACTATGCCAGTTTACCTTCAAGTTAATTACCTTCAAGTTGAATAATGAGTTGTGCAAGTATTGCTGCTGGAAGAATGTGTTTTTTCATATTTACCCCTGATCTTAGTCCAAAACATGTGTTTTTTTAGTTGTGCCACTATTGCAGCCTATGAGCTATATAACTGGTCAATAATCTGCTCTTTCTTATTGCAAAAATGACACTTTATAACCAAATGAGTTATGATTCCTATAACATTCAAAATTGTTTTAATGTTTTCTTAAATTTCTGACTATTTACCAAACTATTGTCAACCGGAACTACTTTGGTCATTGCGTGGTTACTTAGGCCCCACGCAAAATAAAAGTTGTTTATTTATGCATTGGACAAGCAAAACAAGGCATATAGATATTCTAGGTCTTAGAAGGTAGTTTGTTCTCTGATTGGGGGTATTTTAATAGTTGTAGGTAATTTAAAACTTTTGATTTTGGCAACACTGGAGTTTTTGTTTGCCATCAAACTTTACATTGTAAACAAATCCAGTTACCAGATAAAAATAATTAATATAATTATTAAAATATTGCCTTTAATAACTTGTTACCATTGTGTAATAATTTTTTTTAAAAATTTTGATGGTAAATTTTAGCCTATAAAATCATAATAATAACAACCTATAAAATCAAGCTGATAGATAGGATATTCTTGATTTAAGAGTGGGCTGACATCAAAATAAAAATCAACTCTCCCAATCTAATAATGTGTATGCACACATATACTTACAAAATATTATTTTTGTTTAAATTTTATTTCTGTAAATAGTATTTGCATTTTACTTAATTCTTTTTGGCAGGTTGAATTTGACCATCATACTTACTACAACTCTACATTTTACTCTGATCCAGAGGTTGGTAAAAAGTTTTGGATCGACATCAATTCATATCCCCAGCCTATTGTTCACCACATGTTATCCGACTCTCATCGTCAAGCAACAGTAATTAATTTTCTTTTTTAAATTATTCTGAATATAATGTGTATCCAATATATTATATTTTATGATTCTTTCTCATGCTCCTACTCATTTAAGACATTTTTTGAAAAAAAAAAAAAATTCAAAATATACTCAAATGTTTTTTTTTTAAAGTGAAAAATCTTCAAAATATTTTGTGAAAATTCTTAAAAAAATGAAATGTTCTGCAATATTTCAATGGATGCATGCTACATGGTGGTCAGCAAAATCCATGGTCTCTGATCTGGAAAAATCTGGGAATTAGTTCACTCGTTTATATTTATGCTAAAAAATGCAATTGCTCATATATGAATTAAAATTTTTAAGTAGACTTATAATATGTGTACTTACTAGAGGTTACCCAAGGAACAAGTATGAAGAGGTGCTCAATTATTCTTCAGTTAAAAATGCATATGTTATTCCATCAGAAATAGTTTTCTCCTTTATCAAGAGATTACACCTTTTTCTTTTTTTTTTTTTGAAAAAAAAATCATAATATTATCAAATTGGAATGCTCGTCTTCCCGTCAAAGAAAGTTTAAAAAAAATTTAAAAAAATTTAAATTATGTATTCTATTATGTTAAATTTTATTTGCTAGTTTATATTATTGCATACACTGCTTTCTTCAAAATTGTCTGATCCCTAAGGAATGACAAAACTGCTGAGCAATTCCCTTAATTGCTGTGTAGCATATTTACATTATAACAAAATTTATAAAACTGCATTTTAAATTTTTTAAAATTTTTAATAACTTAAAATGTACTTTAAAGTCGATAAGTGATTTAGCGCTGACGTCCTTTTTATTTGACTTGGATTCAAATACCCATATTAATTAGTAATGCATGTTAATTAGTAAGGACAGCACTAACAGCAATTCCGACATAGAATATCCTAAGTGGTCAACATTGGAATTTTTGTGCCTTTTTTTTTTTCTTTTTTAGAATACTGTGCATAGTATATAAGTCCAACAAATTAAAAGTTAAATGAATCACGAAATACGAACTGTCATGTGTTAATAATTTTTAATTGTTTTAATTTTTTACAGTATTACAGAAAACTTTTGTGGATGGTGCCAAAATTTTTGCAAACAGCTTTTGCGCGTTATTACATATTATGCATCCTTGCCTTTGAAGAAAGCTATAAGCTTTCAGAAAAATCAAAAAATAAATATGATTTAGTAAATATGATCCTCTGCCTTACCACATAAGGAAGAGAAAACATAAGTTTTTTTATGTACTTAAAATTTATATTTTATTCTATAAGGAGCCATATAAACAAGCAAAAAATATTTTGAAAGGTTCACTTAGTTATTTTATTGTTATGAGTAAAAATGATCTTTTTTAAAAATAATTTTATTTGTTTTTCAGACTATCCCTTTGAAGTTTGATTTTCCATTTTATGGAAGCCTTTTAAAAAATGTAACAATAGCCACTGGAGGTACAGTTATAATTCTTTTTTTCATTCTCCACTAATGAATTATTTTTTTAGAAAACTTTTTACTTGATATAGAAATAAAGGAACTGTATTTATGCAAGCATTCTATTTGTTCATTTAGAATTTCAGTTCTATGTATGCATATTCCATGCTCAGATTCTTTAGTATATTTGTTTTGATATATATTTCTAGTTTATTGCTATATTAGTAATTTTAGTTTGCTTACTAACAGGTCTTCAATAAGTGGTGTATGTGTAAATTGTATTTGCAAACGATGATGTGTAAAGTTTAGAGACAAGCAAAGTATGCCTTACAAGTTTTTGCTGCTAGCCTTTTTGCACCACAGTTCTTAAAGATAAAAAGAATACGGAAAATGATTTTTTATTTAAGAGTCTAATACAAACTAGCATCATAGTTAAAACTTATTTGCAATTTTCTTTTAAATATTTATTTTCCTTAAAATTTCAGGTTCTTATAAAAGTTTTGCTTTAAAAGCTGTTTTCTCAAAGTGCAAACATTTGTGACTGCTGAAGAATATAATTCTTGATCTGTATTTTTTAAATAAAAAAAAACCCTTCATGATGGTCATAAAACATACATGGCAATACTTTTACTTTCGTTAATTGTAGTGGAAGTAAAAGTTAAAAGTTCGTAATTTTACCTGTATTTTCTTCCTTTTTTAATTTAGTACTTTACTTGTTTTTTCAATAATTCTTTTGGGAAAAATTACAAGTATTTGTAACGAAAATGTCGATAGAAATTGTTAATTTTTTTTTTTGATTTTTTAAAAAATTTTCCTCAAGAAATTTTTTTTTTCAATCTCTTTGAATGTTTTCCTCCGGACAATCTTTATTTTTTCTTCCAACACTCGATATTTAAAGTCAAGGTCACCAAACATCTTCATCGCCTTATTTCAGGAATCTACATGTATGCTTTTAAAAGTAAGTGTGTGGGGGGGGGGACATGTAACCCCTTGACAAGATAGCAATTTCGGTGAGAAACCTGAATCTGAAATTGCGAGCAAAAGACATTGAGAGTCCCCCAGCCCAATGTCCAGCTGTCTCCTGACTTATCTTTGGATATGCTTGTTTAACTTCCATTTTATCAGTTGTGAAAATCACTTTGAAAAAATGTTTTCCGCATCTCTAGAATAGATTTAACTCCTATTGAAAATAAGTGGAGAGAAAAAAGAAAAAACACATCCCTTCACAGAGGATGCCACCCACGATGAGAAATCCCTGTGATAGATACAAAAAAAAGGAGACTCCTTCTACGCATAAATGCAAGATTAATAAAATTAGTATTGTTATAGTTTTTTGAAAATTTTTGATTATGTAATACAATCTTTTACGTTATAGTCAAAATTATTACATTCTTCAGATAATCCTTATACTTTACCTCTTAAAAAAATAGAAAATATAATAATTTTTAGAGGACCCCTGATACGCGATTATCCACAGTCACTGTTTTTCCTAGATACGCCTCTGGAGGGAAGGCTAACAGTTGATGGTTTTATGAATTTGGATAAGTGGTGGTATCACTTTTCTTTTGGTAGAGGGTGCACTTTTTTTCCCTTTAGTAAATAATATTTAAACAACCAACATTTTTGGCAACTATATGTGTGTTTTTCTAAATAATTTCAATTATTTGTTTGATATTACCAACCAAACATTTTTTGCACAAAATTTTAATTTTTTGGCATGTAAGATTTCAAATATAAAATTTATGCAACATATTGAATCAAAATATAGTATGCATTAAAAAAAATTTCTGATGTTTTATTTCTTTTTTATTAAAAATATTTTTTGTTTCCTTTTAGAATTCTACCATATAAATGAATAAATTTAGAAATAAAAATTTTGTGCTCAATTTTTGATTATGAGTGGATTCGAAATTGAATATCTATGTCCCAAATTAAAAAATCGTCATTATTTAAATTTCTGAAATTATTTTCTTTAAAGTTTTAAGAAGAAACAAAACATAATTTTTAATTTAATGGTTTTCAAGAGCTTACCTATGTATGTGAATAAATTATTATTTTGTTTAAAATTATTTCTTTAAACAAAAATTACAATATTTATTAAATTTGCTCTAAAAATTATTTTCTTTCTACAAATTCCGATAATAAAAACAAAATTTTTAAAGATTTGAAATTTTAAAATTAATAATTTTATATGCAAACATTGAACATTGCAAATTTGAAATTACAATATTTATTAAATTTGCTCTATTAATGATTTTATTACTACAAATTCCGATAATAAAAGCAAAATTTCTAAAGATTTGGAATTTTAAAATTAATAATTTTATATGCAAAAACTGAACATTGCTTTCTGGTTTAGTTTTCTAGATATTTTCAACATTTACTATTTCAATAAAGTTTGGTAAATTTTCATGCATTTTAAAATTTTTTACATTTTAATTAAAATTTAATAAGTTTTAAAATAAAATTATTTATTTTTTCTTTAATTTTTTAATGAAATTTAAGGTTACTTTGAAGTTTTGATTTTCTTGAAATGTACTTTGAAATCATTACTTTTTTTGTTTTACTTTTTTTGCAATCATTACTTTTTAAAATCAAACCTTTTACTATTTACTCGTTGCTTTTTCCTAAAGTACTTGTACTTCTAGTGGTAGGTTTTAAAAGTAATGTCCTCTTGTATGATCATAAACTAGAGCAGAGCACAAATCTTTTGAAATATTACTTGAAATTTGTTTTCACTTAAGTGAATACAAATGACTTTGCTTTTTTCAGCACTTAAGTTTCTGGTATGCATTACATTTTTGTAAAATTAACCTACAAAATTCATCCTGGCATGCTTTTGCATATTATATAATACATGCAAGTGATTGTTTATTTTGTATGTTGCAGGTTTTTTGTACACTGGTGACTATTTGCATAATTGGATTGCTGCCACCCAGTACATAGCTCCCCTGATGGCCAACTTTGATAGCAGCCAGTCTAATGACTCTTTCATCAAGTATGCGGATAATGGTAAATGTTTATTGGAATAATTATAATTGCCAACCAATGAATACCAAATGCTTAACATAATTTATAAATTTATTTTGGTTTAAACTACCCGATGAATGACAGATGGTTATTTCTGCTGTCTTGTGTAATGCTGTAATTGTAACTCCTGAAATGTGTTTGATCTTTCATGAGGAAAATTTTTATGTTCTTCTGAAATGACATTTTTATGAGGTTATGTAAAGTAGATTTATTTTTAAAGTTTTGAAATAATTTGGTGACCGAATTGTAATTTTTAAACACACCATTTAATTACAATTGTTGTATTTCTCACTGCATTATTAAAGGGAATTTTTTTTCTAAATGAAATGCTTTGAAAAATATAACTTCAATGTAGGTGTATGCTTTCTTGTATATTATTTTGTCCAAACGTTTTTTGTTTCAGCTCTGTGTAACCTTTAATATTAGCATAGCTTGTTTTTTCTCCTATATTTATTTTGGTTATTTTAGTCCTATTGTGTGAAACATGAACACAATTAGTGGTTAGAAAATGATTTTGATTATTTGATGATGAAACCCTTGTGAAATCATCAAAAATAATAGATTTTGGAAAACTGACTCAAATGAGAATTGAGTTTGAGGCTTCAAAAAACTAGATTGGAAAACCAGATAACATCTTTTAAAATTTACCAAAGTTGGCTTTCTGAAGATAAAGAATTCTGAAGTGTTGTGGATAACTATTTATGAGAATAGGGGCTAAAAAATTTGAAATTGAAATATGTGTCATCGATTATAGTAGGACCTGCATTTATAATTTGTTCTGATACCATTGCCTTCCTGATTGAATTTCTAGTTTGTTTGTTTTTACTTGAATAAATTTCATTTTATTTATTTGAACTGAATCTTCAATAATCCACTTAGTCCATCTCTGAAATGTGTGCACCTAAATCTACTTTTATGTTAAATTCATTAATTTGTTGTATAATTAAATTTGTGACACAATCATTTTGCATATATTTATAATACACACCTGATATTAAATCATTGGAAGATCAGCTGACTGAAATGATTGGTAAAACCTAATTTTAACAATTAATGCCATTTTTGTTTTGTTTTGATTTTAGTAATGTGGACTAAGTTTAACAACCAAGTGCACTAATGTTCATATTCACTGAGAAAAGTTTGTTTTAGCAGCACTATTTTGCTAAGTTTTGAAGAATTTAAAAATGTTAAGGAAATATTAATTTTAAAGTAAATGTAACTTTATAAATGCTCTGATATTTAGTTTTTTTAAAAGTTAGGTTATATTTATAAAAATGCATTAATAAGTTTATTTTTCTTCATGTTACAAATTGTTTTGTTAATTTATTGATGTTAAATTTTAAATGTTGAATTGATTTGGCAGTTCAACGCCAGTTATATATATATATATATATATATGTAACATAAAAAGCTTTTATTAATCTTTTTATGTTAGTTTCTTTGCTATAAAACAACTCCTACTTTATTACTAATTAATTATTCTATTTGAAATACTTTCTCACACTTTTAAAAGCCACATCCTGTTTCTAAATCTATTTTTAGCCAAAGTATGCATACATTTAAATAAAGATCTTTTTTCCCTTTTAAGCCGTGGGAATCACTCGAGCAAGTTCATTAACCAATTGTAATTTCTGAGATTTCCCTCTTTTCCCTAAATAGAGACATTTTAGGATTTTTTGCAAGATTTTCCCTACCAGAAAGACTGTTTGCTGATGGAGTAAACATCACTTCTTCGCTC